TTCACTTGGAATATCTAATTGGCGCCACGTAGCGAAAAGAAGAAACGACTGGCGCGCTGTTGTTAACTCGGCTATAATCGCGTAAGCGGTGCCTATGCCAATCAAGAAGAAGACTTGCTGGTTTGGCTATCGAATGGTTCAATTCAAGTCATATTTTATGAGCGAATCAAATATTCCTTGAAGAGAGAACCGTTATGCAATGCACAAAAGAAGGGACATGAAGTGGAAAACTAGAATGCTGTGATCTTTTAAATAAGATAAAATACAGTTTATCTCACCACCAGTAGATAACAACACCATCGACAGGATTCCATATTAATTTTTCATAAAATATTTGAATGACTAGTTGTTTGTTTGTGCAACTATGATGAAATTCGTGTACTTATGCCTCAACATTCAGGGTTTTCCCGGAAAGTAATAGAACTGATTTTCTTCCGCCGTGACTATACATCGGAGCAAGCGCGCACGCACCGACTGGATTCGGTAGAGGGCGTTCTTAGCTAACGAATGAGCGGCTAGTCAGTTTACGTCTACGAGAGAAACGTTTGATATGATCAAGCAGGCTTACTCAGATGTTGCTTTAGCATAAAGTAGTATGTTTCGGTGGCGCCAGGTCTTTTTGGGAGAAAGACTCTTTTTCCTCTTGGACAAACCGTCAGCCCCAAGTTTTAGGTGGAAGCCCTCAAGAGACTCAAACGAAGGATTATCGGGTCCGGCAAGACATCGCAGCCAATTGGAAGTTGTACCATAATAACGCATCGGTTCAGACCTCCTTTCTTGTCAACAGATATCTAACCAATGCCGGCATTTCAACACTTCTGTGGCCCTCCGGGACTTTTGTTTCCTTGCCTGAAGAAGGTGATGAAAGGTAAGCGTTTCGAGACGGAGATCCAAACAGCATGCACTGTGACTCTCAAGGCTATTCCGCAGAATACCTTCCGTCACGCCTTCAATGCCTGGAAATCGCACTGACAGCACTGCAACGACGCAGAGCTAGCCTGTTTGTATAGTTTTTACAGGATTGTAACGATTGGTTTCATATATTTTTTTAAATCGACTCATTCCAAATACTTTTCGAAAAAATCCGGTATTATGATGAGTTGCTTGAAGCTTCCACCTGCTAAGACAGTCGTTACAACATGACTTTTTTTTGCAAATAATTTTACGGCTAATCGATTCTTCTCAGTGAGAAAGCATATGCATTTAACCGACATATCTGCTTGCCCTAGAGGCTGCAAAGATCGGTTATTCGAAATGCGATCAATCATTGAGCAAATTCGCCACCGACTGGCGTATTGCTACAGAAAACTAAAGACACAAATTGCATTTTTACAACCTCTTCCCGCACTTTCAAATGTATGCGGCTTTAATTGTACGTTCCGATCGCTTTGCAAATCCTTCCTTGCACGAAAATAATGGATTGTTCAAACGAGGTCGGGGATCAGCAGTTCAACGCATTAGCGATAATGACATGTAGACATATTTAGATCTTACACTAACTGCATCATGGATGTATATCGGAAGGACTGTCAGGAGCATAACCAAATTTTTGGATTCACTGAAGTTTCGTGCTTTAGTTTCTCATTTCAGTTTAAGTACAAAAACTGGTCATTTACAACTGGACATTGAAACCCCACTTCGGGAAGGGCTATCACGAATGGAAGCTTCACAATCTCAACACTCTACCCTAAATCGCGCGTTCCGCACTTTTCGGGATTCAAATTCAACCCCCCGAATAACTGCGTAAGGGTAACGGACGTTGTAAAATACTTCACTGTACGAAAAAATCATATAAATATAATATGCCTGAAAAGTAAGGCGCGTACTTGTGCGTGAAACGTGACAACAACTGTTTTGCCTTATATCATGAAAAATAAGAGTTAAAAGTACAATACAATACGAAATACTTTCAAATAATATATAGGATCGAGCATATCCACATGTAATATACATATAGTATGTATATTTATACATTTTAAATAAACTAATTATAATGAAATATATACTATATGTATAATGTTTAAGTTGAACTGAACATGTCTGTATATAAAATGGTTTACAGAAAATGTGATTAAAAATGATACAAATTATAATGAAATATATTATATGTATAATGTTTAAGTTGAACTGAACATGTCTGTATATAAAATGGTTTACAGAAAATGTGATTAAAAAATATATTTAGTGATTTCAAATAAGCAGACACATCTTCCAGATTTTTATCCGTTCCAGAAGATTAATTATTCCGTCCAGCTCTTAAGTTAATTTTATTCTCATAATGAATTGAAAATGTATTTCTTTTTGTATCTCGAAATAGGAGAACGATTATGTAAATCATGGATAGGATATATAAAGATATAAAAAGCAACGACAAACTAATTGACGGCATGTGATTTCAAACAGACACTTCCCTTGATGGAATCTACGCTTGCTTAAATCTTCGGGAATGTGGCGTAATGGTGAAAAAATAACTGACATTGAATAAGGACGTTTATATGCTTCAAGATATATTTAAATTATAAAATTATCGACGGATTTCTGCACAATCCTGAGGTCATAAAATACTCTTAACCACGGGTTTTCTCCCAAAGTACACACAAAAAAAGATTTTGAGTGGCTGCCAGAAAGAATGTTCTTGGCAATAAAAATGGATTAAATTCAAAGATACAAGAGTTTTTGCCTAGGGACTTGGTGCCATAGAATTATTTTGATACTGTTTGCGATGCCAACGCAGCGGTGAATAATCCAATTGAGTTTTTGAATTCATTGAATATGCCGGGCATGCCACCGCACCATTTGCATCTGAATGTTCTATCTCCGGTTATTTTGCTTCGTAATTGAACCACCACGAATTTGGATGAAACAAGATTAGTCATTATCAAGTTTCGAATGGAAAATGAATTGTGTATAGTGTTAGTTATTTTTAAGCCCGGTCCGCTAGTATAGGTTAGGTGACCCGCTTTCAAACCAGAGTACTTAGAACTTCCTACTACTACTTTTTCAGTTCGGATTTTGGAAAAAGTAGTTGGAAATCCGTATAAAAAAGTAAACCCCTGTAAAATATTTAGTTGGGAGATGCCAAAAAACTACCGCGTAAACGATAACCCTGTTATTCAGATGATCACACAAGTAATCATAGTTTACAACAAACAAGTAAGAAAAAAAGTAGTCGATTATTTATACACTAGTAATTTGCAAGGATTTGGAGGATGGAGTCATTTGTAGAAGTTCACCCAAGTGAGGAAAGTTTTCTGATCGCCATTCACTTGGAAGTGGCCAGAAACGATTCTTTTACATATGACTCAAGCAGCTCATGACTTCCGGTCCTTGACCAAGTATCCTCTGGGTAGCCTATGAACATCCGTTTGAAAGCGAGCTAAAGTGAGAAGGCGAAACATTCCCTGCATAGGGTTGTGCGCTGGGTTTGGGGAAATACGATGGACGGGGCAAGGAGAGAGACGAGTAGGTCCTTATGGCATTTACTACAGTGGCCATATAAAGGAGCGCAAGTTTGGTGTGGGATTCGTGGTGGGAGAGAAACTCCGTCGCTGAGTACTATCATTCACCCCGGCCTCTTTCTTTTTCTGTCTGYAAATGCGTCTCGCTTCCCTCTTCAACTCTCGGTATCTATCCCATCCCGCACGTGTTGTGGTCGATCGTAACGTTGCGAGGTAAGCAGTCTGTTTTCTCTCCTCTGCGACATTTCACTCCTCATTGTACCAGCTGTTCGTTTGCTTTCTCCGAAAATAAATGGTATCAGTTGTAGCTTCACGTAAGAGCTTGAAATTCCGTCCCACAGTTCCCTTATATCGAGTTGTTGACGAGTGCTCTCAGAAAGCAGGAGTGCAAGTCAAGTAGAAAATTGTTTGGCTATCTGTTGTAACTGCACCTTTTCGACGTCGAACCTGCCTTATGTTTGTGGACGTGTGGTTTTTGCTGCACAGAGGCGGGTGCGAATCTTGGATGCAACAAGATAGTGGGCCGAGTCAATATTAGGACTTCTGAGCGTACGCTCGTATAAAACGCTGGAGGCGTGTCTTCCGTCTATCACAACAGGCAGCTTTGTGAATGTTACTCTGCTGGAATCTAGTACTGCAGCTAACCATGTTACAGGCCCCGGCGAAGTCGATCAGCCTCAACCCATTTGGGAATGATTCCTCGTGATAGTAACACTTTTTCATATATTTTAGAAAGTCAGGATAGAAGACTGATTGGTCTGTATGAAGACGGCTGTGTTAAGGTTTTCCCAGGTTTTTCTATCAAGATAATCTGCTACTTTTTTAATAAAATTGGATATTATTCAAAACTGAGAGTTGCATTGATTTCAATATTTGGTAACTCAATTAGCATTTTTAGGTTAATACTATCAAGTCTCAGCAACTTTTTTGGATTAAGCTCTTTTATGGTTCTTATATTTTCAGAAGGTGAAGTCTTAAATGACTTGAGCGACTCGTTAGCTGTATTGGGTAAGATTGACATATTAAAATTGTTCTATGCCCAGTTAGGTTAATACATATACCTTTTCTAGGTGGTTTGCAAAATAATCAGGTTTTTCCAGTTCACTTCCCGTCCAATTTCCACCCAAGTCTCGTATAGGCATGTAGGAGTTGATTAGTGGCTTCATAAACTTTTGAACTTTCAAATGGAATTTGGCGTGCTTGAATTTGGACACAACTTCTTTATATTGTGTGGTTCCTCAACGGTAGTTCTGCGATGGAGCAGATATTTTAGATTGTAATTCAGATGTGTTTTATTTTTCTTAAGTTGGTTAGAATCTGACATCGATTCCATTTAGAGCATTGGTTGTGGGCCTTTGTTCCTGTTAAAAACGTTTACCACCGATTTAATACTGAAACCACCTTCTTCTAGAGCTTTTTTAACATCATTAGAGTCTATCGAAAGCCCTATACCATTAATGACAACTACTAGGCCTTTTGAGCTCTTCAGTTGGTAATCCATGAAACTTTTTTCAGTGTAATTTATGTTTGAATTTTTGTTTCTTCTATGTAACCTTTTTTCAAGATCGCATTTGAGCTCCGCTCACGCAAATAATTGGAGGGGGTTTGGTATTCATGACTGTGTTGGTACCCTTTTCATCGTTGTTAGGCTACCCTTGCATCGTTGTTAGGCTAAGAGAAATCCGTTGCCATTTAGAATGTCTGTCTTTTTACCATTTGGCGTGCCTGGTTGAATTTCAGTATTGTCCGCAGATTTGACTAGACTGAATTTCCTTTTTACGTTTATGTAGTGATCAATACCAGTTTGAACAGATGTTCCAGTTTTGCTTGGTACATGCTCATCTTGCATTTTGTTTTCCTTCGCTTTCCTTGCTTCCAGGTACCTGCATACTGGTTGCTGTCAGCGTATTTGTTGTAACCCGATGACTGTTTTCTGCTGCTTCTGCTGACTGCGTCCTTTTCTCAGTTTCTTTTTCGGCAGATCGCTGCGATGACTAATCTTTGCAATTACGAATTTGATAGTTGTCGCAATCAGAATTGAAACCGATAAAAAATTAGTAGGTGTCATTAAGTAGGTGTCAATTAAGATATAATTGGTTTGATGCTCGAAACAAAATATGTATCGGTTTTAGGTGTCACGGAAACCAATTTTATCGGTTTTGCTATCAGAAATAAAGTAAGAAGAGAATCGCTAACAATTTGAAATTTAAATTAAGAAATCAAGTTATTTTATTGTTGCGAATTAATTTAATTAATTAATTTTAGAAAACATAAGAATAAAACGCGAAATATCTTAATTATTGAGTTTTATAAAAAATTAATATTTTTAAGCGAGGAGCTTGCGATTCGATTTTTTTGAGGCTTTTTTTGGGAGGAAAAGAAATAATTGATTAAAGCGAAATTTCCAGGGCCTATAGTTATATATTTTAACATCATCCGAAAATTTCTTGGATACGAAATCTTTGATATTCTGCCTTTGGGAAGCAATTACCCAATGAATCTCTCATGTACATTTGTCGGACGGTAGGCATTATGCAGGTGGCAATTTCTATCAGAAGCTAAAAATTCTAAGAGATTCATATTTGTTAATAATTTATGATCTAGTTTAACTAAGAAAATTTAAGAAAAACTTTTATAATCCAATTTGTTTTTAAATTTGAAAAAAGTGGTTTTTGACCAAAAAAAAATTGTACTTTCTGTTCAAACTTAATTTTTCTTAGCTTTTTTTAGTTGAAATAATAACACAATTCTTTACGACGTTTAATTTTTTTTTTTAATCCTGTCCGCCAATTAATAAAAATCGTAAAAATTAAAAACCGAGGAATCGCGCGTCAATGTTTTCGGTCTCTGCCCAAGAGCTCTTATTCTCTAGACGCTCGGTCACTATTTTCCTTCTTGCTTCGACAATATTTCGAATTCCCATCTATAACTTTAGGGACCTATTTTAGGGAAAATTTTAAGTATATATTAGATTTCTCCCATGTGAAGTTCACGATGAGAAAAACACAAATTTCTAAATTTTTCATGGGTAATGGCAATCACGCGAAGTTTACGATGACGCTGTATACATATATATATTATTTAACATATAGATCGATTACAGTTTTAAAAACACGATATCTTTGGTATGAAATAGCTACAGGCGCTGAGATCTTCATATTCGGTATCGAAGTACTTGGTATTGTCCAATTTCAACTATTTTTAGATGAGAGGTGGAATACAGTTGTGCCAATATTTAAGCTAGGTTATATTTCAATATCTTCTTTGTCGTTTGAGTTATCGATGTAAAAGTCAAAGGCTGGAGTAGTTTAGAATGATGTCATGTAAAGTGATGAACATTGTATACTAAATATGGTTTAATATTCGGAGATTTTGGACACCCAATATGGTTATATTTAACTAATTTGAAGTTTTGTTAGAGAGTTATTTACATATGTACGTTAAGTACTTTTGAGCATAACGTTTATATCGAGATGTGCGTGGTTATTATCCAATTTCATTCACTTTCACACCGTGTCACTGAACTTAGAAAGAAATTTTTCACTAACTTTGCCTGATTTATTTTTATTACTTTGAGAAATAAGTTCATTAAGCCTATTGGGAAGTCACGACATTCTAAAAATAAATTTAAAGTACAGATGTCCCTACTATGATCTTTCAAACCAAATATAAATAGGGTGTCAATACTTCTATTTTGCTGATCTCAGCCTCCTCAAAAGTGACAAGTGTGTTCAATTTTATCAATCCTATTTTAAGGCTTATTTAATTATCTCTTAAATTGACGTACGGACAGAAAAATTTCAATTCTTGATTAGCTTGAGGTGTTAGAAAAGTCGAAATTGCAATAAGTGATTCGATTAGATAGCGTTAATTTTAAAGTTGTAACCGAAGGTGTATGATTAGAAGATAAGGAAAAAAATTAAAATGTTAAAGTAAAATAAAGCTTTTGGGTTATCGTTTCACGTACTTTCAAGAAGTAATATGCTTAATACTTCTTTATATAAAATGTTTTTTTACAAACAAATTCCATATAGAATATAGAACCATATAGTACATATATACAAAAAACAGTGGTAGGTTGTGATTTTCATATTGTACCTGATAACGTTGAGAACAGCATCGGCCGCAACATGATTGCATTAAGCCAACAGCACTATTCGTTGAATGAGCAGGACTAGCCATCGGCGATGGAGAACCAGTACGCTTCGGTTGACCATTGTACGGTATTTCAAGCTCAACAAATTCGCGATCCTTTTATTATTGTTTAATATTTATTTGTTAGTATATACAATACATATATTTTGGCAGCATTGTATGGAGAATTTAAAAACGAGCGAAGGCACAGCAATAAGTGTACAGCGGAAAAAAGAGGAAAATATTTACTCGTAAATTATATAATATGCATACGATAATATATAGTTGCTATAGTTGTAAGTGAATTTGATATAGGAAAATAAATACACACATTCATATAAAATTAATACTCGTAGTAACATTTTATTTTAGATCAAAAATAATTGAATAAAAAAAAAATATGACGATATGCATGCAGCATGCTATCAAATTAATACAATGATGCATTGTCCAAAGTTTTGGCAATTAAAGAACTCAAAAGTGAAATTTCAAAGTCCACTTCATAGAGGACCCCATTTTGTATATAATACTAGTACATTTTAATACCATCGCAAATATGTTGCTAAGGGTATATCGTCACCTGAAATGCAAAATAACGTATCATCAAAAAATTCGGAATTGAGTATCTTATTGATTTCGCTTCACTACTTCAAATTATTTTTTACATACATTTAACATTTTCAGGTTCTGCGGTCAGATATAAACCTGTATTAACCAATATTAAAATTGTATTTAATTTCATTTCGTGTTTCACTCATGCCACTGTAAATTTCACTCAGAAAACTGATGCCGCAGTAATTAGCGCAGCTGGCATTAACACCTTACATTCTTCCGACCGTATTTAAAAAAATAAGTTGATTTATGCGCAATATCAGCTTCTTGCCCCCATGTTTGAGGAGCACAGCCTGAAGGCTCTTGTTTTTAAGCCGAGCAATGGCTATTCGAACTTCGTGTGGTTCAGGTCTACCTCCTATGACGATGTTGTGCCGACGATTCGACTATCGATTCGTGTTCTGTTCCCATGATATCAATAACATTGCAGTCACCATTCGCAAGCTTAAGAATCTGGTTCGTGTTTGAAAATACGCCTTTCTTCTCTCGTCTTCGATCAATGAAACTCTTCGGGGGCGACTAAATTCTTATCTTTCTCTGGTTATAGAAACTTGGCTGCAACCAGGCAGTAGTCCGAACTCTCTTAGACGTGATCCCAAGCTTCTCTCGTGTTATTTGCCAAAAACTCACTTGTGTTTGCTCATTTTGCCAAAAATGTTTGAACTAGTGGATTGAGAATCATAGGTAAACTGTAACTGGATGTTAAATTTTAATATTCACTTTTTTACCAGTATTGAATATAATATATTGTGAATATCTGTTAGTCTGTCGTGAAAGAAATATCTCGAGAAGGGTACAAGAAAAAAACAATCTTCGACTCACATTTTACATTAGAAACGGATTCTGAGCAATTTTTGGTCGTCAGTCAATTTGTGCGGAACAAACCGTACACACACCTTTCGTAAGCTCAAATGTTCCGTCAAAAATCGATCTTTTGGAGAGGCTCAATTCCATTTGACAGTTTCGATGGAATTTAAGGTGATCACGGATTTTGATTGGCATGTTGATCGTAATTTTTGTCTTCACGACTTTGAAAACGTTGAAACCCCTCGTGCCCTCTGCTACGGGATAGGCAATAATCGCCATAAACTTGTTTCATCAATAAAACGTTTCGGTAAAAGTTTTACCAACTTTAAAACAAAATTTAATGTTGACTCTTTGTTCGAAGCTCATTTTCACACTGATAATACAAATATACTAAGACTTAAAACGCAATAACTTCACTTCCAATCAAAGAAATGTCATGCAATTCTCACTGGACAATCGATAAAGATAGCAGATTTTAACGCACTAGTCGACATATAGATGGCGCCACCAGGGGACGCTAGATTCAAAAAGTCCTGTTTACTTTGGAACTCTCCTTGTACAAATATTTGTGTAAGATTTGCTGTGTTGATTTTTGAAATATTGAAGTATCCTTGAGTTTTGCTTGGTATTCATTGATATTAAAGTGATTTACTCTTACTTTTTTGCAGAAGTTAGCTTCAAGCTGTTAGGTTACAAACATGTATGTGTTTTCTAAAGAAATTATTTATTCAGAACACGGAAGAACGCGCGTTTACTGTTAATCATACTGTTCCTTAAGATCTTTGTATTCTTCGCTTCGTAAACTATTTTAATTATTATAGGAAATATGCACGTATTTTTCACTTCTTAGCATTCGAACACGAGCTTAGTTTATATAACCTTTCAATACGTTATATTCTTTACATTCGCACTCATGACCCATGACTGATAGAGTGTTTATAATTTTATTTTGTGTAGTCAATGCTAATTAATAATATAAGAATGTCGGGATAAGGTTATGCACCAGTTCTAATACCCTTTACACTAACATTTCTTATTGAAGGTATAAAAAGAAATTTATCTTCATCTTAGTGGTTCGGCCTGAAAACTATACTTATAATTGATAATGCTGCTAGCTAAATTTCGTACAGATATCTTGTCAAATAAAAAACTTTTCCATACAAGGACTTGATTTTAACAACAGGGTGGCTGCTGAATTTTGTTACATTAAGAAACTCAAATAATTTTTTTTTTTTTTGCAGAGTATGGAATTCATTTTTCTTTTATTCATGTTAAAGCTCATTACATTTTATTAAATTTATTCATGTTAAAGCTCATTACATTTTATTAAATATAGCTTAATTAGTTTTAAAA